GGCCCGCAGATCATGTTACTAATCCGAGCGGGTCATCGGATTCCTGTAACTGTCGTCACTTTTGGGCTCCTCAGGTCTGAATTTGGAGGAAGTATCAAGCGGGAGCCTCGTCTGTGAGTGAATTGCGAGGAAGTCTCAGGCGGGAGCCCCCTCCCTATGGGGCCCGCAGATCATAATACTAATCCGAGCGGGTCATCGGATTCCTGTAACTGTCGTCACTTTTGGGCTCCTCAGGTTTGAATTTGGAGGAAGTATCAGGCGGGAGCCTCGTTTGTCATTGAATTGCGAGCAAGTCTCAGGCGGGAGCCCCCTCCCTATGGGGCCCGCAGATCATGTTATTGATCCGAGCGGGTCATCGGATTCCTGTAAGTGTCGTCATTTTTGGGTTCCTCAGGTTTGAATTTGGAAGAATTATCAAGCGGGACCCTCGTCTGTGAGTGAATTGTGAGGACGCGTCAGGCGGGAGCCCCCTCCCTATGGGCCCGCAGATCATGTTACTAATCCGAGCGGGTCATCGGATTCCTGAAACTGTCGTCACTTTTGGGATCCTCAGGTCTGAATTTGGAGGAAGTATCAAGCGGGAGCCTCGTCTGTGAGTGAATTGTGAGGACGTCTCAGGCGGGAGCCCCCTCCCTATGGGGCCCGCAGATCATGTTACTAATCCGAGCGGGTCATCGGATTCCTGTAACATTTTTGGGCTCCTCAGGTTTGAATTCGGAGGAAGTATCAGGCGGGAGCCTCGTGTGTCATTGAATTGCGAGCAAGTCTCAGGCGGGAGCCCCCTCCCTATGGGGCCCGCAGATCATGTTAGTAATCCGAGCGGGTCATCGGATTCCTGAAACTGTCGTCACTTTTGGGCTCCTCAGGTTTGAACTTGGAGGAAGTATCAAGCGGGAACCTCGTCTGTGAGTGAATTGTGAGGACGCGTCAGGCGGGAGCCCCCTCCCTATGGGGCCCGCAGATCATGTTACTAATCCGAGCGGGTCATCGGATTCCTGAATCTGTCGTCACTTTTGGGCTCCTCAGGTCTGAATTTGGAGGAGGTATCAGGCGGGAGCTTCGTTTGTCAGTGAATTGCGAGCAAGTCTCAGGCGGGAGCCCCCTCCCTATGGGGCCCGCAGATCATGTTACTAATCCGAGCGGGTCATCGGATTCCTGTAACTGTCGTCACTTTTGGGCTCCTCAGGTCTGAATTTGGAAGAAGTATCAAGCGGGACCCTCGTCTGTGAGTGAATTGTGAGGACGCGTCAGGCGGGAGCCTTCCTATGGGTCCCGCAGCTCACGTGGTTCCTCCGGGTCATCCTCCGGCGCGCGCTTCCTCTGGGTCGTCCTCCGGCGCGTATCGGCTGGGACGCACGTCGTGCGCTTCCTCTGGGTCGTGTTCCGCACGAGGACGAGGAGGAGGGATGATGCAGGACGAGACAGGAAAGCAGGAAGAGGAAGAGGCTGAGGGGAGGAAGGACGAGGAGGAAAAGGAGGAGGAGGAATGCCCGAGGAGGCCCCAGTAGGTCCCGGAAGGCCCAGAAGGCTCCAGGAGGCCCCAAGAGGCCCCAGGAGGCCCCAGGAGGGGGCAGGAGGCTTAAGGAGGAGGCAGGAGGAGGAGGAGGAGAGGGAGGAGGAGGAGGAGGGGGGGGAGGAGGGGGGAGGAATATGGAAACGAGGAGGAGGAGGAGGAGGAGGAGGAGGAGGAGGAGGAGGAAGCGGATGAGGGAGAGGGAGAGGAGGAGGACAGGGGATGAGGAGGAGGAGGAGGAGGAGAAGGGAGAGGGAGAGCAGGAGGAGGAGGCAGGAGGCAGGAGGGGCAGGGGGAATGGGGGGGAGGAAGCATAACGAGGGGGAGGGGGAGGAGGTGGAGGAGGCAAGAAGAGGAGGAAGAGGCAGGGGTTGAGGCAGGAGGAGGAGCAGACAGGAGGAGAACGAGGAGGCAAGAGTAGGTGGGAGAAGGGAAGGGGCAGGAGGATACCCCCATGCAAGCTAAAGAGATTCTCATGTGGGGTCCTTCCGTCGGAGTAATTCTTAGAACATGTCTGGTTTCTACGAACATTTCGTGGTATGACTATAGGAATGCTGGGACGGTCGGTCCCTGCTCAATCAGCAGAGGGCGATGGGGCTGCTCAGAAACCCGCCGGCGCTCAGGGAAGCCTGCCTGTGTCTTGGGGGCGGGGCCTACAGGCAACTTCTCAGAAGGCCGGGGGGGACGTCCGGGCCTTCCGAGGAGGCCCGCCCTTTCTCGTTTCCCCCCCGGGCTCGGCCGCCGAAGATATCCAGTGTTCACGAGCCTCCGCAACCACAAGCTCCCACGACTAGGCGCAACACAGGTGTCGGGGAGGTGATCGAACCTCCGAGTCGGTCGGGCCCAACCAGGGAGGCGCCGGCAAAAGGTGGTCCATTCTGCGGAGACGTTGTGGCAGTTGGACAGCTAAGGCATGGCCAGGCGCTCGAGGACACATGCTCGCCGCCGATCCTCGCCACCACCTCCCCCCGCAGGCTCGCCGCCGAG